AGAAGAAACATAGCTGTTTGTATTTATTTGTATATTTTGCATTGTAAAATTCTTACTGTTGTGTTTTTAGGAAGAAAATGTTTATATCTGTCCAGGAAGCATAGAAGAAAAATAGCCTTTTGGCTAATTATGGTGCATTAACAGGAATGCTTATTAATGCAGACTGTCTCTGTCAAATAACTAAATCAATCTAAACACACAGGGCGGTGGAAACACGTCTATGGGTTCAGCAGGTGTTCTGGTTGTTTTGGTAGTTCGGGAAAACGTCTCACAGTTTGCTGCTGATCAATCCAAGTGACAGCCTGCATATGGCAGCAGCAGAGCTCTGTGTGTTTATGTATCAGAGTACGTGCAAGTTTGGGGGATGGGCAAACCTCCCCCCCTCCACCAAGACACCTGTTGAAAGTGTTTTTATCACCCTACCATCAATAACAGCTGTTTGATGGTGTGAGTGGGAAGCTTACTGCGACTTCGTCCCAATAAATACTTTAACCTCACTTTACGCTCCTTTAGATATAACTGTCAACGTCTTTTACTTTACTTCAAAACAACAAAAATATACACGGTCTATGTCAAAACGACACCCTAAAATAACCCCAAAAAGATAAGCATTTATTTTAAATTAAAAGAAACTTCTAGAACTAATGTTAGCACTGCCTATAAAAAGATAACACTGAAGTTAGCAAACAAGCTAACGGCGAGCGAAGTACTGCGGACGTTAAAAATAACAACAAATATGAACAAATGTGAAAAGGCTGAGTGTGTTTGGCTGCATGTTTCAAAGAGATAATGTCACCTACCTTCAGTAGGAAGAGTGAAACGCATCCCTCAGAGTGTGGAAGAGCAGACTAGCAACAAACAGCCGAACCACCGTTAAACTCTGCAACGGGGCTACTGTTGCTGCTGCCATCTTGTTCAACGACGAGGAGGACACGGAGCGACTTTTCACACATTCAAAGCTTCGAACTACAAAAAAACAACTATTTACAAAAACGAGCTATGGTCCATGTTTTAGAGGGTCTTATGGAGTCTCGTTAAACGTTAGTATGGTGACTAGTCGAGGCGAAGTTCGGGGTTTCTAAACTTTTGCATGTTAACACGCCTCGTCCCCCCCCCGACCGAGTTAGCTGCTGGAGGTTAGCTTGTTGCTGCTGCTGCTTCGGTAGCTTGTTGCTTCTCCGCATGTGTGGAATGTTGGGGAGGGGAGGGAGGAGGAGGAGCTGTGAGTCAGACTGACGCGACTCAAAACATTCAAAACTTCCATGATCCAGCTGCGGTCACCAGCGTACAAACACTACAACAATGCAGACATACATGGCATGGAACTGAAGAGGATAAAGGTCACTGAGAAATAGAAAAAAGTTCTGACTTTCTTTCTCAGTCGGAATCCTGAGATTAAAGTTGGAATTCTTAATAAAACAAGTAGGAATTCTGGGATTAAGGTTGGAATTCTGAATAAGAAAAGTTGGAATTCTGAGATTAAAGTCGGAATTCTGTTTTTTTTTTCCCTTGGAATTCCAACTTTTCTTATTCAGAATTCTGAGGGGGAAAAAAATTAGAATTCTTTCTTTCTTTCTCAGAATTCTGACTTTTCTTAGTCAGAATTAAAGTCGGAATCCTGAGATTAAAGTCAGAATTCTGAGATTAAAGTTGGAATTCTGAATAAGAAAAGTCAGAATTCTGAGAAAAAGTCAGAATTCTGTTTTTTTTCCCCCTCAGAATTCCAACTTTTCTTATTCAGAATTCTGAGGGGGGAAAAATTAGAATTCTGTCTTTCTTTCTCAGAATTCTGACTTTTCTTAGAATTAAAGTCGGAATCCTGAGATTAAAGTTGGAATTCTGAGAAAAAATAGTCAGAATTCTGAGATTAAAGTTGGAATTCTGAATAAAACATGTAGGAATTCTGGGATTAAGGTTGGAATTCTGAATAAGAAAAGTTGGAATTCTGAGAAAAAGTCAGAATTCTGTTTTTTTCCCCCTCAGAATTCCAACTTTTCTTATTCAGAATTCCAACTTTAATCTCAGAATTCTGACTATTTTTTCTCAGAATTCCAACTTTAATCTCAGA